CGATTTTCTGTCTTTTTGATACTGGTGTTTTTGAAGAATACCAACCGTTTCTTTTATAGAAAGAAAGTTCCTCAGTTTGGGTTTGCCTGAGGTTGCTTCCTGATGATGACATGATGCATTTTGCTAGGGTGGACGATTTTGTGTCTTTATTGCATTATATCAGGAAGCACATGAGGCCAGTTTGTGGCATTATCGGCGATCACTTTGATTGTTGGCCAGGTTTCTCCAGTGTAAAGTTAACTGTATTCCTTTTTGTAATTAATAAGTAATTTGTGGGAAAATACTTTGAGACCATGGAAATATCCTGTTTCTCATCAAACTTTTACCTACTAGATTTGGCATTCACTGAAGATTTTTACCTGAGTCAGTTAATGATTGCCAAAAGTTGATGGTCTAACTTCATCATTACTTACCCATCTACTGGTTAGCCTTCTTGTACAAGGAAGAGCTTTCCCATCCTTTTCTCAGTTCCTCCCTCCCTCCTGTCTGCCCAGCCATCCATCCGGCCGGCCATCCATCTGGCTTTACTTTGGACTTACGGATCTTTATTTTATTCAGTGGGTTCTAATCCGTTGCTTCCATTCTTTATCCCCCCCGCTGCCATTGGCTAGATTTGGCCAGTGGGAGCCCTTCTAGCTGGTGCTTGTATCCTTTGTGCGCAGCATTTCCTCACTATCTGGAGTAAAGTGGAGATACGTGAGCCAGCTTTGACATCAGACATCCCTCTCCAGTGTTCTAGTTCCCTTTGTTTTTTAGAAACCAAAATCTGGCACTAAATATGCTATTACTTATAGGCCCTTTGAGAAGCTGATAGTGTTATCTAGAGTTCATACTCTGCTAACTCTAATTCCAGTCCCAAACCTGAGGAGTCTTTCCACTCTTTCCCTGTGTTATATTTATATCTTCCTTCTCTATCAGTGAGAAATCTGCCTCCTGATGTTATCAATATATTTACTCATTTTCTCAGTCCTACAGTATACAGAAAGTAGTTTCAGCATTACTGAGCAATGTCACCATATAAACAAACCTTTAAGTAGAATTTAAGAGTTGTTTATGTTCTTTTTGTCTTTACACCGAGGGTCAATATGCAAGGTACATGATCAGAGGCTGGTTGGGTTTGTCCTTTAATCCTCCCTGTCAAGGTAATTAAGTTATTTATCTGAAATGTAGGTAGGCTCATTTGTTTCTGTTTGCATGTCATTATAGGGTTCCCCCATCTTTATTGATTGATTTTTTTTTACTATATAGAACATGAAAATGGTTCCCAAAGTCAAAATTGTACACAAAGTTATACCCAGAGAAGGGTCACTGCCTCTGTTTCCCCTCTTACCTCCTTCCCTCTACCTTTGCACGTGACTAATCCCGTCCGTTCCTGGTTTTCCACTCTTGTGGGGATGTCTGTTTGCTTGTTTGTTGTTGAAAAAACCAGACAGATATTCTTACTTCTAGTTCTTGGGCAAAAGATAGCATATTACACATGTTCTTTTATGTTTGGCTTTTTTTGCTGTCATGTTTGCCAGCATATCCTGGAAATTGATCCTGGGCAGGTCATGGGGACGTGCCCCAGCCGTTCTCACAGGTGTGAGGCACGCCGTGTGCGTGGACGTGCGGTGTTCTGTTTACTGGTCTCCTCGTGGGCATTGTGGTTTCCAGTTGTTTGAATTTCGCTGCTCCGGTGAATAGCCCCGTACACGTGTGTTTCTGTGTTATTGGCATTGGGTCTTCAGTATAAATTCCTAGAAATGGTGTTCCTGGGTTGAAAGGTGAAAAAAACATGTAGACACACTTTTATTAGATTTTACCGCATTTCTGTCCATAGAGGTCATTAGCACTTTGCGTTCACAGGAGCCACGCACAAGGACGCCTTTTCTCTCCAAGTTTGTTAACGGCTCCTTGCTCGTTTAACATTTAACCAACTAGATAGGCTGTAGGTGACATTCGACAGCCTTTTAATTGGCGAGGGACATCTTTATATTTTTCTTTTGTGAATTATCTGCTTATATCTTCTCGTTTTTTTTCCTATTGGATTTTAGCTTTTTCTCAGTTTTTATGACTCTCTATATTACAGTTATAGCCTTTGTGAAATATGTTGTAAATACTTTCAGATCTTCATTTATATTTTGGCTTTGTGGTATTTTTACATAACTGAATTTATCAGTTTTTGAAACTGCATTTGGATTTGCATCATAGAGAGCCTTTCCATGTATCCAGTTTTAGAGGAGCTCACCTGAATTACTGGAACTTCTCTAATGGTTTTCTGTTTTACGTGTAGACCCTAGATCATTTGGAGTTGATTCTTGTGTTTGGTGTGAGGAACGGGTCTGTTTTGGTCTTTTTCCAAATGGCCTTCCGGGTGTCCCTGTACCGTTCATCAGAAATTCCATCTGTGCCGCAGAGTTGGAGGTGCCCAGTCTCATTCCTGACCTGTTGGCAGCCCTGTCTCCTTGCTGGCCCTCTGCAGACGGTGCCAGGAGTCCCCTGTGGCAGGGGCTTGGTTTTTCAGTAGGACAGGATGTGAGTGAGCCGGGGCGGTGCCGGGCCGCCTGCTGCTGCTGGGCTCACCGCCACACCAGCAGTGCCTGCCTTCTCTGAGCCCTGTTGCCGCTCTTCTCTCTCACGGTTTTGTTTCTCTCCTGCCTCGTCTGTCTCTGCTTTATGCCCTCTGATTTCTGCTTTGTTTTATCTCTGTGTGTGTTGCCTTAACAGTTTTGTGCCTTGTATGCCGTCTTGCCTATAAAAGGGCTCTGTAAGTCTCTACCTGTCTCTTGACTGCATGAATGATGGTTGGATGGACACCTGACATCCGTTGTGATGATGCTGTTTTCCGAACTTTGCCCCTGCCTCTTCTTTATTATGTCCACTCTTTTACTTGCCTCCTGCCTGGCCGTCAACCTGCCTGTTCATTGATTTTTCCTGCTTGTAGACTCAAGGCTGTGATCCTGATGACTCCTTGGTTTGCTGGTTCACACCAGCATTCCACGAGGACTGTCAGCGCTTTGTAGATGTCAAGAAAGATGGAATCTATTGCATACTCGTGTTTTAGAGCTTGTTATTCTTGTACCGAATGAAATGAAATCACTGTGACCCACTAAGCTCTCTCCTGAGCTCTGCTGTTGCTCGTTGCCAACACATTGTGCGGTGCCGGCTTGTCCCCCAGCATCAGTACTGGTGTTTAATCCTTAAACGAACCCTCGTCATCGCGGGCGCCATTTCTTTCAAAGTGGAGCGGGCATTTGCTCTTTCTCCCTGGGTGGGGACTCCTCGATCAGAAACTGTTTAGAGGACAGGAGGTACCATGAAGAATGAAAGACCCACCTTACTCTTGGCCCCCGTTACGTTTCCCTTCCTTTCTTCAAGGGAAAAGAGTAGAAGTCAGTGATACAAAGATAAATTATTAGAGCCTATTAGATAAATCACGACGGCCTGTACACTCACTCAGTGTTCTTTTAGCCGGAAATGAATGTACTGTGCGCACGAGAAGCACACGAGGCATAGCAGTACATTGGTGTAAAACGTAGGCCCGAGTTTGAGTCCTGCCCTGGAGTCACTCGCTCTGGAATTCTGAAAACCAGCAAGGACACCTGTCTCCCCAGGACTTCTTTCCTCACCGCAGGACGGGGGCACACTGGGGACCTCCCTCAGAGCACGGTTGGGGGCTCCTTAGCACATGTGCTGAGTCCTTCTGCGTGCAAAACCATGTTTCTTTGGCTCTGCTGGTGTTGTACGCTCCGTGTCCACTCTCCCTGCTCTGAAGGGAGGCCTTGTGGCCTGGACATGGAATTCTTAGCTCTCTGTAAGGATTGTGTCATTAGGCCTTGATGATTTAAACCTGTTCTTTAAAAAGAAATACATTTTAGGTTTTTTCAAGTATACCCTTTTCACTTATCATTTGTAGTTCTGTCCTCTCATGCCTTGCTGTGATTTTCACGAAATCCGAAGGAAACAAGATCCCAAGCCCCGTGCCTCTTCGTGGCTCTCTGTGGTGGTTCTGTCCTCCCCGGCTAGAGGAGGGTTTTGTATAGGAGATTGTCTCTGTTCCCCTTTGCGTGAGTCCCTCTGTCTGTTTGCCCATCTGCCACCTGTCTGTCTGTCTGTCTGTGTGTCCATTCATTCTTCTGTCTTGTTCCCAAAAGTGTTTAAGGCAGCTTACAGATTAACGGAGCCAGATCAGAAGCGAGGGTGGGGCATGGACTGGCATGTGTGTCCCGGGCAGTGAGATGCCCGCCTGGGCCCCGGGGATTGTAAGGCTCGGCCACAGCCTCATGCCTGAGCCCCCGGCAGGTGCCAGGAAGATGCGGTTTGGCATAGACAGAAAGAAGTGGCTTAGCGGGACCCTGGCTTTTTCTGTTGCTGGGGCGTAGCAGAGCTTTTTTGTGTTCTGTGAAATAAAAATCACGTTTTCCTTTTTCCCTGTTTGAGTTCCATGTGTAGCTGGTATGTTCTGTAAATGGAGATTTCTCCAGAACTCTCCCCTCCTGTGAGTCTGACGGCTGAGGAATTTGGCCGTTCTGCCTAGTGAAAGAGATTGGCTGGAGCTGGAAAATGGGAACCTCAGACAGGACACCAGCCTTTGTTGGTTGGATTCCTTCAGTCCTGGCTGATCCGGGAAGCGCTTTCAGGTAGTTTATCTTTGTTTGAGGACGTGCGCAGGGCCTCCTGCGAGCGCTCAGCGTAGAGCCGCGAGGTGATGTGCGTCGGCCGCGTCGTCTTCCAGGATGGCGACGTGGTGGACAGGTGACTTTCCTACAGTGCATCCCACGGTCTCCACTAGACGGTTTCAGGAAGGGGAGCGCGCTCTGAGCTAATTATCGTTTAACACAAGCTCTGATGGTAAGACTTACAGGGGCCATAGAAGCTAGGAGGAATTTAAAAATGGCTTCGTTTCTTAAACTGCAGAGGGGGGTGTCTTTAAGCTTTATCCTGTTTGTGCCCTGCTTTCAAAAGAACAAAGAAGACAGAAAAAGCAAAAGATTCTTTGTTTTCTTCCTTTTGGTTCGCAGGTGCCCTCACGACCAACGGCATAAATCCCGACACCAGTTCCGAGATTGGACGTGCTAAGAACTGTCTTAGTCCCGAGGACATAATTGACAAGTATAAGGAGGCCATTTCCTATTACAGCAAGGTGATGTCACTGCTTCATAAGCCCCTTTCCTAATTGTGTCGTTCGAACCGGGAGCTCCTGGTTTACACTGGGAAGCACCACAGTGTCTCCCAGTTGTTTGGCTCCGTAAGTATTCGTGTATTGTTCCCTAACACAGGATACTACATGCCTGAAAACGTGTTTTATTTCCGATTCAAAACAATGTGTATGTCATTCAGTATTTGGGGAAAGGGGAAGAAAGGCTATCATAGCGCCGCTGCTCAGAGATAGTTGCTTTAACCCTTTAGCTTCTATTTTCTGGTCTTCTCGGCGTGTGTTCTGTGTTCACTGTGCGGAGACTCGCGTCTCTGATTTGGCGCAGCGTGTGTTCCTCTGTAGTTCAGTCTTGCGTGGCCTGCTTTCTAATGATGTGCCCAGTGTGCTGTCTTCTGGATGCACCATTCCTGTTACCGGATGTAAAAAAAATTTAAATTTCGCATACACTTTCCGCCATCCGGAGGACGATAGCTGCAGCTGTGCAGGGGTGAGGCAGCAGCAGCTGGTGGGAGCGGACCCCTCCCCGGCCCTCACCTCTCAGACTGGCGAGATGGATGTCGTGTGGGCGGCAGGCCCGTGACGCACGTGTGCAGGTGGGTGGCTCTTCTTTAGGGAGATGAGGCCATCCCATGCATGTCCTGCCGCCGCTCCCCATTCCCTGAGAGGTACACCGCGATGTCCTCGTGCTGCAGGCCTCCGCCCTCTGCAGATAGGGTGGACGGTCCCCTCCCAGGTGGAGGAGGTCCTCTACTCGTGCGCATGCAAGACTGCCGGGAGCCCCGCGCGGGGAGCAGGCAGCACCTCGAGCCCCGCGTCCTGCCTGCTCCTGCAGAGCCCACAGCTTTGCTGCTCTTTGCTTCCTCCCCATCCTGGGGGCTGCATGGGCTTTCTCGCATCCCCCTTCTGGGAAGACTGGCTTCATTGAGCGTCTTTGGACATGCATGCTTGTGTGCTTTTTTGTTTTTTGTTTTTTAAGATTTTCTTCATTTGAGCTCTGTCCAATAAAGAGAGTGAGCACAAAGGCACAGGAGCAGAGGGGGAGGAAGAGAAAGAGAGAGAGACAGTGGGGAGAGGTGCAGAGGGGGAGAGAGAATCCTCAAGTCAACTCTGCACTGAGCGTGGAGACCGACACGGGGCTCCATCTCACGACCCTGAGATCATGACCTGAGCTGAAACCCAGACTGGACGCTCAATGGACTGAATCCCCCAGGTGCCCCTATTCTCGTGTGCCTGTATGATCATTCTAGTTAAGATTTCTGGGAATCACTGGACATGACGTTCTACATTGATCATAATTCGCTTTCAGGTTACTCCTCAAATTCCTTCTCCAACAGGGAATGAAAAGGAGTAGAATTATTTATTTAACCAGTTCTCCGTTCCTGAATATTAGGAAGACTGAAACGACCTAATATGCAGGAACGGAGCACTGTTTGCCATCATGGGAAGGAAAACAGTTTTTTTTAAGGACATAGTCCCTAGAAGTGGACTTGAGTCAGATAATGCGTGGTATTTTTGGGGCTTACTTATACACTGCCATATTGTCCTTCAAGAAGGTTAACAATCTGCTCTCTCACAAACACTAGCTATTAGGATATTTGTCACCTTTTAGGGTGTTTGCCACTATGATGGGCAAAAGTAACTTTTCATTGTTTACATTTAATTATCAGTGAGATACTGAGCATTTTTGACTTGTTACCATTTACATTTCTTATATGAATTACCCATATGTGTCCTCTACATACATTTAAGGTGGGGTGTTTCTCTTGTTGATTTGTTATAGCTCTTTGTATGTTATGGATATTAGCTTCTTACCTTTCATCAATGTCTGTTACAAATCTGTTTCCTAATGTTGCTTGCCTTTAATTTTGTTCATGAGGTTTTCTTTTTATTTGTGGTCAAAACATGTTTTTAATATGGTAAGTCCTTTCCTTATGGGTTTTACCTTCAGTATTATGCTTAGAAATGCCTGACAATAGAATAAAATTCCTTTCCTTAGTTTTTTTAAAACTCTAGAATAGGGATGATGATAGTACCTCTCTCAGAGGGATATAGTGAGGATAGGCAGAGTGAAGTACTGGAAAGTATCGTATTAGCTGTTGTTAGCATTTTATTTATTTATTTAAGAAAAGATTTTATTTGATAGAGAGGGGGAGAACACAGGGGGAGAGGGGGAAGCAGACTCCCCACTGAGCAAGGACCCTGATGTGGGGCTGGATCCCAGGACCCTGGGTTCATGACCTGAGCTGAAGGCAGACACTTAATGACCGACCCACCCAGGCGCCCCTGCAATTATTTTTTATTAATATTTTTAAAAAGAATTAATGAGAGAGAGAGAGAGAGGCCATGTGCCCAGGCACCCTTGAGCAGGGTCAGGGACAGAGCGGGAGGGAGAGAATCCCAAGCAGACTCTGTGCTGAGCGTGGAGCCTGATTCTGGGCTTGTTTCCTTGACCCTGAGATCATGACTTGAGCTGAAAGCAAGAGTCGGGCGCTCATCGACTGAGCCACCCAGGTGCCCCTCTTGTTAGCATTTTAAGTTATTTACCTCCTTACCTATAACATATTTTGTGTACATAATGACACAGCAATATCACTTATTTTTTCCAGGTACTATCTGATTATTCTACCATGACTTACTGAATTCATAACTTTTCTCTTTGATTTGAAATCCCACTTACCCATATATTAGAGTTTAATCCTGACTTTTTTTTCATTCCTTTCTACAATTTTCTTTTCTTAGTCTAGCATCATGATATTTTATTTCCTGTAATTTATTTAATATATGATAATATGTCTTCTTTTCTTTAAAATTCCTTCCTCTGATTCCAGATTTTCTTGGCTAGTATTTTGACTTTATTATTCATAAAGAATTATGAAATATTTTGTTCAAGTTACAAAAAAAAGAAAGAAGGTAAAAGAAAACCACATTGGAATTTTCATGGGGTTTGCAATAAATTTTGAATTATTTTTAGGAGAACTTATATCTTCACAAAACTGCTTTTCTCTGTAGACTGTGTTAACATCTCTGCATTTACACGTCTTATTTTAAGTTCCGCAGTACAGTTGCAGTTGTCTTCACTGAGAACGTGAGCATTGTTTTTAAGTTTATTCCTAGTTATTGTACGTGTTTCTGTTAATTTTGTGGATGAGATTTTTTGCCATTATATTTTTGAACTGCTATGAGCTGATATGTAGGAAGGCAGATTGATTTTTTTCTTTTTAAAGTTTTTATTTATTTATTTGACAGAGAGAGACACAGCGAGAGAGGGAACAAAAGCAGGGGGAGAGTGGGAGAGGGAGAAGCAGGCTTCCCACTGAGCAGGGAGCCCGATGTGGGGCTTGATCCCAGGACCCTGGAATCATGACTTGAGCCGAAGGCAGATGCTTAGGGACTGAGCCACCCAGGGGCCCCAGACTGATGTTTTATTATATGTGCTGCCAGAGCGAGCACCCAGATTGATGTTTTAATATTCATTTTGTAACTGGCTAGTTAAAAATTATAAGTAATAAGCCCTTTTTCCAGAATCCTTTCTTTTCTCTTTTCAATTGTTTCCAACATTATCCAAGTGATCATAGCTAAGTTCTGTCAGTGGGTGGGCAAATGGAGAGGTCATGTGCTTGTAGAACTAATTCTAGCAGTTTAGTGACTGTCTTTGGGCTAGAGAGGCAGAAGGAACCTGGGTAAGGTCAGGGAAGGAGGCTCCGGATGCGCACAGGGACCAGGCTCTCCTGCCTCTGGGGCGAAGCCCGGTGGGCACGGCAGGTGGACGCCGGCTCGCCAGCCAGGGCTCACTAAGAGTTAGTGGCTACCTGCAGCTCCATGTCAGTAAGGATGTGAGACTTGTCTGCCAGGGGCTCGGCGGGGGAGTCAGGTGGCTGTGGGAGATGATGTTTCCAGTTCCAAGAGTGGAAAGAGCAGACTCTGGAGTCGGGCAGAGCTGGGTTTGACTCTCCCCTCCCATGTCTCAGGCTGTCAGAGTTCAGTCCAGCCGCGGGAGATCAGCCCAGGTTTCTTTTCTCTCGAATGGCGACATGAAGGCCTGCTGCGTGGAGTTTTTAATCAGGGTAAATGATCTGTGTATGTCAGTGCCTACTGCAGTGGTGGGCTCGTTCTACTTGGTCACCGTCTCCTGCCCTGGTTGAGTACGTGTCCAGCAAGACGTCTAGAAGAAACCAGTTCCTCTCCTCATGTACGGGGCAGATGCATGTCTTGCCTGTCTCTCTGGCTGTACTTTTCCTCATTTGCGTCATTACCTCTTTGCTCCTGTTCTTTTCTCTTCTATGTCCTCCACCACCATGAAGTGAGAGTGGTCCAGGGATGTTGGTGCACTTCCCGGATCTGAGTGTATTTGATTTGTAACACACCCACGCACGCACACGCGCGCACACACACACACACACACACACACTCATCAGGCTACCTCCCACTTAACGGGGAGAAGCACCACCTTTGGTTTTCATTCCCTGCGAGGGATTGCAAAATCTCTTCAGCAGACTCTTGGTGGCTTCATGAATAATTTTTTATTAGATTTCTGATTTGTGGCCAAGGAAATTCTTTCATATTGGAACAGATGACTAGAGACATAGACCTTCTGCTGAGATACTGGTGTTGGAAGGAACCTTGGAGAACATGTGGCCCCCTACCTTCCCATAGCAGAGATACTAAAGCCCAGGGAGGTTAAGTGACTGTCAGAGTCACACAGTGGCATTATTGGAACCAGAAGCTAGGTCTTGTGTCTTCTTGTGCGCACAGATGGAAAGATAGCTGGGCTGGGAGGCAGAGGACCCTCCTTGCGAGAGTTAGTGTCTGGAGAGAGTTCTCAGTGTTCACCTGCCTTTAGCTGTGTTCATGTGGCCTCTCTAGTGAAGGTCACTTTATTCCTAATGGAGTGATATTTCCGCCTTAGTTTTGGCATCATACCTGAGTTCAAATCCTGCCTTCATCAGTTACTAGCTAATCTTGGGCAAGAAACTTTACTTTTTTTAGGTCTCATTTTGGGCCCTAAAATAATGGTAGAATTTGTTTTAGGATTTTTGTTTTAGAATTGAATGAGCTAATTCCCTCATTTACTCTTAAAGTATTGCTTGTATAGTTCTTTTTTTTTTTTAATTTTATTTTTTTAGTTCCAAGTGCTTGTGTAGTTCTATGTGGGACCTTTGCTAGTAGGTAGTCACTAAGGACCCAGTAGTGAAATGGGGCTTCGTTCCTGCGTCCTAGAGCTTATGTTCCAGGAAAATGATGGAAGACTAGGTATTTAGGTCCTTAGAAATTGTCCTTTCTTTTCCTAATCCCCACTGATTGTGGATACCTTTCTACTAATGGATGAACAACTTTTTTATGATTGCAGTTTAAATCTCTGTGTAGTATAATTAAAAATATATAAATGTCGCATAAAATATGTAAAAACATGGAGTTGACTTTTATTTTCACCTAAATGGAAGTTTTAAGGGTTTTGAAGGAAAAGAAGTTATTTAATTTCAGTGAAATAAAGTCCTTATGTTTGTTGTTGTTGTTAAATGGTCTATAAAACTTGGTAGATTTTGGGGCTCCAGGGTGGCTCAGTTAAGTGTCTGCCTTCCGCTCAGGTCATGACCCCAGGGTTCTGGGATCGAGCCCTGCGTCGGGCTCCCTGGCTTCGGGTCTGCTTTCCCTCTCCTAGTCCCCCTGCTTGTGTTCCCTCTTTCTGTTCTCTTTCTTGCTCTGTCTCTCTGTCAAGTAAACAGATGAAATCATAAAAAACAAACAAAAAACCGGTAGATTTTTGACTTCAGAGTTGGTAGTTGGGGAAGTATAGTTTCTTTTTATGACTCTGTCTGGTAATTGTAATATATCACAAATTATGGACATTTCACATATTTGAAAAGAGGGGAGCATAGAGGCCTGCCCTTCTTAGCACAGTGATTTCTTTGTCTACTTTATAGAAATAACTTGAGTAAGAAGCACGAGACCTTTGCTTCTTCATAATTGGTAAATGGGCAGGTGGGGCTGCCAGGCCTCTGGGGTGCTCGGTGCACAGCGGTTGTGGGATGGGGTGACTCCCAGTGTGTGATGCCCACCGACAATATTGGTGGGGGACGTCCTCACCCGTGGGCGCTCATCTACGGGACTCCCCTCTATAAACCTTTTCTTCAACTGCAAGTTTTTCCGATTCCTCAATGGAAGATCACTCCAGCTCAGGGTACTTAGGAGAAAAGACAAAACAGGTTTGGAGTGGAAAAGAAAACAGGCAGAAGAACGGCCAGCATACAGTTTTGCAGTGTAGCGTCAGCGGGGGGGTGGGGGCTAGAGGGGGGACAGGGGGCACTCTGGACAGGGGTCCCAGCCACATGCATGCAGCCCTCCCGCAGCCCTCCCGGGTGGGAGCTACCTTGGGCAGAGCCAAGAGCCCTGGAGGTGAGGCCTGAGAGCACTTAGCCAGGGTCACCGTCGAGTAGCGAATGAAGGGCTGGGAGCCTTTTCTATCTCCTCTGTCTCTCGGAGCTGAGAAACAGGGCCAAGTAACTCGGAGAGAAGATCACAGAGGCGTGGAGCACTAAGTGCCGGCACACAGGGGCGCAGGGTGTTTGCCACAAAGTCAGATACGTTCACAACTTCAGCAGGTGTGAGAGGGTTGCGAGCTGTTTCAGAGCACAGGAGATGTAAGTGGAAATGGAGACAGGTACCCACCAGCAGCATTGTGAAATTTGATAAGAGTACCTGCTGTTGTGCATTTGTAGGTTCAGTCCGCCAACCTCCTCTGACCCCATAAGAGATGGACTTTCTCCGACAGAACCTCTATCCCCCTCTCCCCACGGTGGGGGGCTGCTCTCGGTCCCCAAGCTTGGGGAAGTGCCCTGCGGGGTCCCGGAGCCCGTGTCGTGTCATGACACGACAGAGAATCTTTATTGTCTCTTCTGTTTGACAAGTCTCCTCCTTTGTGCTCTACAGTACAAGAACGCCGGAGTGGTTGAGTTAGAGGCGTGTGTCAAGGCTGTGCGCGTCCTCGCCATTCAGAAGCGGAGCATGGAAGCCTCCGAGTTTCTGCAGAACGCCGTCTACATTAACCTCCGGCAGGTGGGTGTGCATCCTGCTCGCGGAAGTCTTTGCGCGGCTCTCTGGAGCCTGTCGTCACGAGCCCACCCGACGGCGGCGCCGGGGCTCGGTGTGGCTGGTGGCAGCTCCGCAGCCAGCACCCGCTGTCCTACTAACACAGCTCCTCCGTCTCCTTCGTCACATGATGAGCCTTTCCTTTCAAAATCCCACATTTTTTCCCCTTAAAATTTTTTCTTGATCGGAGAAACCACTTGCCAGCTTTGTGACCTTGAAGCAGCTCTGGTCTTCTTGCCTCAGTCTTGTCACTTGGGATGTGACTGCCATCTGTCATCCTGTGCAGGTCGCTGATGTCACACAGCGGGCAGTCAGCAGATGCTTCTGAGTCTGCGTCCGGATAGGATTTGTTACAGCGGAATCGATAGAGCTCTTAGCTATAGGTTGCTAATGCAAAATGCAAGCTGCTGGTCAACAAAGATTTGAGACGTTGGCTAACATCACTTGGATTTTTATGGGCAGGGGAACCAAGTCTCCAACGTCCAGCAGCTTGCTTACGGACCCATGGCAGGGAGCGGGATAGGTGACTGTAACAGCACCGCTGTTTGCTGGGCACAGGCTGCTCTAGGGCTGGGAAGGAGGGGTGCAGCTGCTTTCCACGAGCTGACGGTTTCGTAGCCAAGATAGACCTTCGGTGCTGGAGTGCGTGAGAAAAAGGGGGTAGGGAGCATGTGGCAAATGGCAAATGAAGCTAGTTTGGTGGTGGGGGAGGGTGTGGGGTCCGGGGCTGTCTGAGGCAGTGAGGTTCAAGCTGGGATGGGAAGGTTGGGTAGGAGATAGCCAGGAGAGGAGGACGTGGGATCCGAGCATTCCAGGAAGATGGCTCAGCAGGAGTCAGTCTGAAATCAGAGAGAGCGAGTTCCCTGGGAGGAACCGGAACTTGTGGAGACAAGCTGGAGGGGAGCTTGAGAGAGGGGCCGAGTCAGGGCTGGAGGGCTTGTTGGCCAGGGCAAGGGTTTACAGCGTACACTAAGCATGGTAGGTTTTAGAGGAAAGGACTTCCAGGCACGGGACAATCTGATCACATTTGTCTTGAGTAAGAAGGTCAGGGGGCAGTACGGATACTCCACCTGGGGATTGCTGAGCAGGGAGAGGGAGCGGACCGTGCACACGTGTGGGTCATACAGAGGGAACAGTGGAGGACTGTGGGGAGGGTCAGCGGGACCACCGCCCAGCCTCTGGCTTGATTTTGCTGGTGCTGTGCTCTAAGAGGGAAAGCTGCAGAGGATGCTTTGGGGGGAAAGGTGATGGGTTCAGTTGTGGGTATAGTTGAAAGCCTGTTGGATATGTGGGCCTGGCCTCAGGCGAGAGGGAGGGTCGTGATTGGGAGAGAGGAGAGAGATTAGAGTCATTTCGTATTGTGGACACATAAAAAACATGAATGAGACACTCGGGCCTCTCCATCCAGATTTGACACATGAATATTTTGCCATATTGACTAGAGATTCTTAGTTTTCAAAATAGGAATAAAAGAGAAACAAAATTGGAGCTAATGAATGTCTTTGGGTTGGTGTGTGTCCTCCTCACACATGTTATAACGGTATCTATGCTACAGTCAATATTTTAGCATAATGCTTAAGCACAGGGGCTGTGGCATCACTCCCTTGGGCAGGTGATGTGGATGCTCTGTGCCTCCTTCCCTCTCCGGAAGCACCTCACTGCCCATCAGGCCCCTTGTCACAGGGAGTCCCCAGTTCAGACAGGAAGGGGTGCTGCTGCGCGGGTAAGACGTTGAAGGGAGAGACAAAAACAGGAGAGCTGGTGAACCCAGTACAGGCAAATAAACCACAAAGAGGAAAATCATGCAGCGTTTGGGCCATTCAGTGTGAGGGAAACAGCCCTGCACAAACTCCGAGTGGGGACCTGGCGGTCACTCGGGGCCCTGGGCGGTTTGTTCCTGAGGGGAAGCCACTTCATAGGCAGGCTGGGGCCAGACCTCGTGAGCGCGGAGACCAGGGGCTCGACGGGTGGGGGGGTGGTCCTCGTGGGCATTAATGCTGCGGGGCCCTGCAGGCCTGGAGGGTGGTCAGCCCGGCTTGGGCCCACAGCCTGCCCTGCCCCTTAGTGGCCGCGGGACCTGCAGCACAATCACTGTGTCCTTCTCGCTACGTCTCAGTGTGAGAACTGGTAGAATAGTGAGCCCCCTGGCCGCGGGGAGGATTGGTTTAGATGAGCTGTGCTTGTCCGGGACTGTCGTGGTGTCTGCCCTGTGGCAGCTCTGCCTGGGTCACTGTCAGGTGGGGGGCGGGGGCACCGAGAAGGCCCGAAGCCATGGGATGGCAGGCGTGTGCTTGGGGCAGGGGGAGGGCCTGTGAGGACCCGAGGCCCTAACACTCCCGGGGGCTGGGATGCACGTCTTCCATTTTTTATTATTTTTTAAATGTTTTTATTTATGTATTTAAGAGAGAGATAGTGAGAGAGCGATCACAGAGGGAGAGTGAGAAGGAGCAGCGACTCCCCGCTGAGCGGAGGGCCCGATGTGGGGTTCGATCATGACCTGAGCTAAAGGCAGATGCTAACCGACTGAGCCACCCAGGTGCCCCCTCATTTTTTATTTTTTTATTAAAAAATTGTTTTTGAGTTTTAATTTAAATTTTGTTCGTTAACATACAGTGCAGTATTGGTTGCTGGAGTAGAATGTTGTGATTTATCACTGGCTTGTCACACCACATCACAGCAAGTGCTGTCCTCAATACCATCCCCCGTCTAGCCCATCCCCTCCATCGACCCTCAGTTTGTTCTCTGTATTTAAGAGTTTCTTTTTGTAAGATTTTATTTATTTATTTGACAGAGAGAGAGAGGGAGCGAGCGCACAAGCAGGGGAGCAGCAGGCAGAGGGAGAAGCAGGCTCCCCAAGGAGCAGGGAGCCCAATGCGGGCTCATGACCTGAGCCAAAGGCAGACGCTTCACCGACTGAGCGCCCCCAGGCGCCCTGTCTTTAAGAGTTTCTTATGATTTGCTTCGCTCTCTCTTTTTTCTCCCTTCCCTTATGTTCATCTGTTTTCTTTCTCAAACCGCACATGTGAGTGAAACCCTACGGCGTTTGTCTTCCTCTGACTGGCTTCCTTCACTCAGCATAACACTCTCTAGCTCCGTCCACCTCACTGCAAATGGCAGGATTTCATTCTTTCCGACGGCTGCGTGGTGCTGCATTGTAGGCGCACACCGCACCTTCTTTATTCGTTCACTGCTCGATGGGCGTCTGGGCTCTTTCCGCAGTCGGGCTGCTGTGGACACTGGGGTGCAGGTGCCCGTTTGGATCACTGTGTTCGTATCCTTTGGATAAAGACCTAATAATGCGATGGCTGGGTTGTAGGGTAGCTCTGTTTAACTTGTTGAGGACCCTCCACGCTGTTTTCCAGAGTGGCCGCACCGGCTTGCGTTCCCACCAGCAGTGCAGGGGTCCCCTTTCTCTGCATCCTCACCAACAACTGGCATCTCCTGACTGGTTAATTTTAGCCATTCTGACTGGTGTGAGGTGGGATCTCACTGTGGTTTTGACTTGTATTTCCCTGATGCCAAGGGATGGGAAGTATTTTCTCACGTGTCTGTTGGCCATCTGGATGTCTTCTTTGCAGAAATGTCTCTTCATGTTCTCTGCCCATTTCTTAACTGGACTTTTTGTTTTTCGGCTATAGAGTTTGATAAGTTCTCCAAAGATTTTGGATACTGGCCCTTTATCTGATAAGACATTTGCAAAGATCTTTTCCCATTCCGAAGGTTCCCTTTTAGTGTTGTTGACTGTTTCCTTTGCTGTGCAGAACATTTTTATCTTGATGAAGTCCCAGTAGTTCATTTTTGCTTTTGTTTCCCTTGCCTCTGGCGACGTGTCTCGCAAGAAGTTGCTGTGGCTGAGGTCACAGGGGTTGCTGCCTGTGCTCTCCTCTAGGATGTTGATGGTTTCCTGCCTCACATTTAAGTCTTTTATCCATTTTGAGTTGATTTTTGAAGTATCGTAATCTTTTACTGAAAAACTACTTTTGCAGGAAATGGTAGGTGACAATTAGAGCAAGTGGTAGTAAGAAACTCTTTGAAAGGCTCGGCGAAGCCCCGCCCCTGAGCAGCCACGAGAGCGTAGGCAGGAGCACGTGCTTCCCAGCACCAACGCTGCTGCCGCCCCGAGGTTCGCGAGCGAGTCGGGCCGTTTAAGAACATTGTGGCTCATGAGTCTCTCGACTAGAAGCTGTGACCTCGTTGTCTCTGGTTCATTTTCTCTTCAGAGCCATTTGAAGAGAGTGTGCGGGCTGCTCTGTGCAGTTCCTAGTAGCCTCTTCAGACTTCTTGCTGCGGTTCCTTGATGAAGCCCAGCAAAAGCTGGTAGATACGCGCACAGTAATTGTGACCTCGGACTGTGTGTCAGGTGCGGCTCCCAACCGGAGCGATGGGGAGATCCCGGAAAGGCTCTTTACAGTAGAGGGGGGACGTGTAAAGATACAGCGTAGGTGAGGCCGAGACGTGTCAGTCCCGGCTGTCAGGGCGGCTGTGGGGAGGTCATGGTCCCGGCAAAGAAAGAAGCGGTTGTGTGGGGAGGGGGGGACGTCGGGTTCCTTACTGAGAAGGGAAGGGAGAGAGGGGACGGAGAAATGTCTGGTCGAACAAGGTAGGGCGTGATTGTATGCAGGGACAGACGGAAATCTCCAGGCGGGAAGTCAGGGCTGTAGAGAAGCCGGCAGGCGGGGCAGGGGCAGCGGGACCGAGGGGGCTGCTGTGCCACCAGCTGGGCTTCTGGTGAGGAGCCGCCCCCCCGCTGTGGGGTCTGGCCCAGCCCTGGCGTTGGACCTGGTACAGTGAGGGGAGGGGGCGCTGAGAGCAGGCACCCCACGCAGCCCCACGCGTGCGGTGCGGTTGGCGCAGGCGCTCTGGGGTGGGGGGGCTGTTCAGGACTCGCCGCGTGGGGACGTGCGGGCCGACGCTGCTGCGGGGGCATCTCTGCATCTCGGGGGCACCGGGGCCCCCGGAGCTCGTGG